TTAATTAAGAAGCGTGCAAACGATCGTCGGAGGAGAAGGACGCAACGTGCCCGGAAGCGGGAAATAACTTCTCCAGCGACAACATGATCGCCGCAAATATGGCGGCCTAGGTAGCTCGTCTATTTTTAAAGGGGTATTTAGCTTTCGAACTGGCTCGCCGTTATTTTTCCCTCCGGTATCTCCTCGTTTTCTCCTTGTTCTCGGTTCATCCACTGTTACCTTCTCTCTTTCAGGCATCTGCTCCCTTTCGTCCTCTCGCGTTTTCCGTAATATCTTTCCGTTCCTATCCCCGTGGCGTTATTTCTTCTAAGCTGGCAGCATGCCGTGGAAACGGGCGGATCTTAATCTCGCGGAGCAGCGGTGTCTCGAAGAAAGACCTCGGTTTCTGGGGTAGGAGGGAAGAAAGGCTTCATTTCCGTCAGGCTTATTTACCTTCCGGGATTTATCGTCGGGCGATTTGGTAGTCGGAAACGCGCGCCGGGACGCGATTCTACGGGACACTTTGTCGCGACTCGCGGGCTCGCCGATCGATCGCCTTGAATAAAGTGCAGGCGAAAATGGGAGAAATCTGAGATGACTTGGAAGTGCGTTCGCGTCGATAATCGAATCGGTGAATCTTTTAGGCGGGCTCTTTGGGAAATTCGCGAGAGACGAGGGTGACTTTGAATTTGTTTGGTCTATTCGGAAAAGGAGTTTTTAGGAGTGCGATGAAACGTCGTGCATTTTGTGTTTAATGATTTATTATTGGTGAAATGGAAGATATGAAACCTTTGTAAGGTGGACACTTGCTGAGTGACGACGCAGCATCGACTGATCACCGAATTTAAAAAATGAAATTTCCAGTACATGAATGATAGGTTCTTGCAATCTTTGGTTGCGTATTGTTTGTTGCGTAGAAATAAATCTCTCTGCCTGTGCACACGCGACTGAAACGCGTAGAAAACTTATTTTTATTCGGAATAACGGCTCGGTAGCGTTTCATTTATTGCAGATGTAACTAATGTCCGATATTAGGTGCCGTCCGGCGTTAAGGGAACCCCTGTATTTTATTGCTCATTCTTTCATCAACTGAAAAAACTTATGTTGTAACTACTATATTTTAAATTAGTATTTTCAAAGATATAATTAACTTCTAGCTAACAATCTTTCGTTGCATACTGCATAAATTCCTCATCAACTGAAAAATCCAAGTTCCACTAAAAGATATAGTCAACCTTATAATTAACTTCCAAACGGATCACCAGTTCCGACCAACCCCGAAAAAGTGTCGATTTTAATTCACCTCGAGAAAAGATCAACAAGTACATTTCCAGCAACAAAATCAGCGACACTCCGTGGTTCAAGCAGAGAAAGCTGAAAGTTGTGCATGTTACGGTGTCCACGACGGGCCAACGAAGTTATTTCCATCCTTGTTACTACAATCTCTGATATTTTTAATACAATTAAATTACCCTGGTGTAACTCACGAGTTCACGGTGTCTCTATTTTTGCAACGTTCGCTCGATGACGCAACCCGGTGTCTTAATACTCCTTGTGTCCAGCGAATCAGGACCACCTGATGTCAGATGAAGAGATTATCGTGTTGCAGAGACGGAAACAGCCTGTGTGGACCAAATGATCCACAGATAAATTTAGCAGATTAGCCGCATTAGCCCGGATTGTTGACCCGCAAGGCGCCCATTCGTACGTTGAACTCATTTCACGGAAGCGGCCAAGGAGGCTGGTCAGTGAGAAAAAGCCAGATCCCAGGCGTTTTGTGGCGTGCTTCCTCACGGATCACAAGATTCACTGGGAACTTGTTATTGCGTACTTCGTTTGATAATTACGATCGAGGAAGACGTACTTCGCTTACAGGATATTATAGCTCGCGTTAGTGTTTCCTCGTCGCGAGTAATGTTCACCTATTTCGACCTGATATTGTCAGATTCGTATTAGCTTCCTTGGAAAACGGACAACAGGGGTTTGTTCGTTTTGTTGCATGTAAAATTGGACAGCCGATTTCTATCTTCTGTCGTGGACGTGACTCATTTCTGCAACATCTTTGGGCAAGCTTTCTCTTCAACGTTGCAGAGCGTAGGATCTTATCAGATTTAACGTTTGTATTAAATATTTTGAATAGCAATGTGGACTGTCTTTCCTTTTGGGAACGATTTCAGCTTGATGCTCTGCCTAAGAATTTTGGGGAATTTTCTTTGTTTTATCTATCGAGTTGTACTTTCATCTTTTGTGAGAATAATTGTGGCGATCGTTTGCGCAATCAGCAAACAAATTTAGCGAAATTAAAAAATGCTTTTGGAATATAAATTTCTCTTTTAGAAATTGAGATTTTGCTCTATGGCTGAATAATTCAGTTTGATTTCTTCTGTTTACGTATATTTTACGGTATGATAATAATTATAGCAATAGTAATATTTTTTAAAATAAATGTGATTTCGTTTTTGGGCTCTTTTTAAACCGTTATTTCCGCGTGCTTTTTAAATAGATAGAAAATTGAGATTTATTTCCTGCCTTCTTTAGTTTCGTTGTTTAAATTGCATCGCTGATAGTACACGTTGTAATTCGCGTAAGTATATTAGGAAAAAAGAGTATTTTTAATTTTTCATTCTTGGTGTAACGTTCACATTTTTAATCTACCTACATAGTGTACAGTCCTTTTATTGCTGCGTAAATTTAGCAGCGTGTGAAAGTGTAAGGTACATAAAGTTTCGTTAACTTTATGCATGGGTCGCATAAAGTTTATTCAAGCTTAAATATTCTCCCGCGTCGTGATATTCGCGATTTTCTTTTTGAATTTTTCAAGCCACATTTTTTTCTTTCTCTCTTTACCCTGCGATGATTCTGATAAATGTGTTTCTCAGTTTTGGGATAATATTTTCAGAAGTAACCTTCTGATAATTCGCAGTGCCACTTTAATACTTCCTCCTTCTAATTTTAAGTTCACCGTTAACAGAGTTATGTTAAGCGAGGAACTTTTTCTATCAGAGTTAGGTGTCGTTGTATTCCGGTATTTATTGTATTACCGGTAATTAATACTGACTTTTCTTTATTCAACATCTTTTTCGCTACTGTCAAAAAATACTCCGACTCAGCGTAGGGTGGGCGTAAAATTCACTAAACGTATCTACGTTTTCCGCAACAATATATTCCACTCAGAATCAGTGTCTACGTTAACCGGACGTCGCTTGCAAACATGTACATTGGAGGTCTCGGGAAGAGTGAGGACGCGTCGTCCTGCCGATCCCTGTCCACCCCTACGCGAACAGGCCCAAGGAAAGACCCAAAGCGCGGACTGTTCCGCGAGCCGCGACTTTCATTTATCACCGGACGCGGAATATTCCGCAAACCATCGGTAGTAATTGACTACAGTAAGAATATGGGTGGATTGATGTTGGTGGTGATACGGGCCAACTGTCAGTTGAACGCCGCTGATGTCTGAACTCAGTAGCATAGGTAGCAAATGGGTTAAGGGAGCCCCGAAAAAGGCACGAGGCTTTTTGTCATCGTGTCGCCTGTACATTAAAAATAGTTTAAACGTTATCTGATTTAAAATAAATATATATTTCTGTTAGGCAACCTTCGCGAGTAATTATTTTACACCACGTCACTTCCAAACTGTGCTAACAGAAATCTACGAAATCAGCACTATCAATTAGACACAGATACAAAACCCAGTCTGATAAAAATGTAGCAACAAAAAGAAAGCAACAGTATTTTTATCTTTTACAACAATTTAAACAATAAAGCTGTGCCAACAGAAATCTGCAAAATTCGCCTTATCAATTAAACACACTAAAAGAATCCTTTCTGATAAAAATGTAAACAAAGAAAAACACAGTCTCTATATCTTTCACGACAATTTAAACAATAAAACTGTGCTAACAGAAATCTACAAAATCCGCCCTATCAATTAGGACACACATTCCAACTTGCTTTAATTAAAGTAACAACCAAAAGGTTTGCTTATTGCAACCGGTAACAAGGGGAGCAGTTTCGCAGCTAAAACTCGGCTGCACCCCGGCGAAACTACGTTCCAACAGTTTACCAAGAAACTTCCGTCCGAAATTTCCGTCGAATCCACCTTCTACATCCCCAATAATTCCCCGCTAGCATCCGTATTTCTCCACCACAAATCTTCTTCACTGTTCCACCGAGCAATTTTCCTCCCTCCGAACGCGTTTTCTCCGATATCCTAGAAAATGATGGCTGTTTCGGAGACACTGGTTGTTCGACAAGCTTCTGGAACAAGCGTTAGACCTGCGTTGATAGGGAAATGTACACGAGAAAATTGACGAGAAAGGAAGCGATTCGTACGCGAGAAATCGGTTTTCTGATTCGTCGATGCGATAAACGGGACGCGAAGGAACTGTGCAGCTCGCAAAGTGGTAGCGGTTTCAAATTAGGCGACGAGATCGCACCTGTAGATCACACGGTGTAAAGATCGTGTTCGCTTCGCTCGAGGCTGCTGCTCTCTTCCTTTGACGACGCGTCGTTTGGGAAACGATTACGGGAAAATTGACCGTTGCTTAACTGTAGCTGTCATTTCCGCGACTGGCGTGCTCGCTGACAGTTGAAAGGCTGCTAATTTGACGCGGAGATGGTGTGTACGGCGCAATAGCGGCGCGTTCTTGGGCGAATGGGATGTAGCTGCTCGTGTTTTGCTGTTTGAAGAGCGATAATTGGTGATAAGTTGTTAAGTGGACTTCGGATTTTTAGGCATTTATGGAAAATTTGGAGGAACGAAAATTGACAGAATGCGATAAGCAAAAATATATTAATAAACGCAAAATTCATAAATAAACTTTCATAAAATAAAATTTGTTTTATTTATGAAAAATTAAGCACCACGAGTGTGCATTAGCCCCAGTTACTTTACTTTTATCGGATTTTTATAGCATTGAATTTTTGGGAGGGTTTTTAATTATTGCAGCAGGGTTGTTTAATGAATTTCATTTCTTGAGAAATGATGTATTGATATATTTTATTTTTCGTTTGTGTTACAGCTTGACGATACCGCACTGCAACTCTACAAAGATGGTGACTATGGCGCCTATTTGGACCTCGAAGCTTCCATCAGCGAGCAGCAGGAAGAATTCGAGGGCTTCCAGACCAAGTAAGTGATGTGTAAAATTTGACATTGTTAATAATATCCAGGAAGATGCAAACTTTTATTAATTAAATCCACCACGTGGAATTACACCGTCGTGGTTAAAATTTCTAAAAAATTGCAATTACTCCGATCTCTGAAAACAGATGAAAATGTAATACACCATCTCCTCATGTCAATTCCACGAATGCACAATTCCACCCTCAATTACACCTCTTTATATCAATTCCACAAATATGCAATTCCATAAATTGCAAAAATTCACGATTAACCCTCCGTCGGGCGCACCTGACCTCTCAGGCACAACCATAATTCATCTATGTATATAGAAGCGATGCGTTGCGCGATGAATGCGCAAATGTGCTCAAAATGTTGATGTTTTTTGTTCACACTCATGTTCTATTATTCCTATGGTTAGTTACTTTCCACTTGGTAAAAGACCTCTTGAAGGCCGATCTCTAAGATCCAGTGCGCCTGATGGCGTTTCAGAAATGGGTGCCCCGACGGAAGGTTAAATGTAAAATGAATTAATCCTAGAAATCAAAATTTTCCAAATTTTCTTCCAGACTTCAACCTTTAATTCAGTCTTAAATTTAATCAAAAAATAATTCCTAATTATCCTCCCTTCTCCTTTAATCGCATTCAGCTCACTTTTTTTAAGGCGCCAAGTGGTCGCAGGCAAATATCGTTTCCTCAAAACACCACAAGTGTTTATTGCGTTGCCTGCGACACTTGGTCCCTAGGACCACACCCTGCCATAAATCCTGGAGTCTCCGAAGGGAAGAATAGAAAAGTGGCCCACGACTTTTGCCAACGTCGATAACGCGCTAAGGGCGAAATGGAGGGAGATTGCGATGCATCGGAGTAAAGTGATTTTAGAAAAGGAAAAATCACCAATCAGGGTGTTTTTAGAAAGGTGGGAGTCTCGGTCGAGGGAAATCGCGGAGACTCCGGGAGAAAGACTTCGCACCTCGCAGAATAGACTTTAGACCTCGAATTAGTTTAGAACATAGAACACAAAATAAAACTTAGTGTTTCAAGACAGAAACTGGCCCTTCGTAGCTTTAGACCATTAGTCGGCGCACACGTGCAAAAACCCGCAACGCTTGGACGATCGAAAGATCAATGCAAGCCTAACACTTTGTTCGGTCCCGAGCACCGCGACGCAGGACCAGCAGGACGAGTGCGTAACCGAGCCGCATGGTACCAGCGGAACCGTCCTACAATGTCGCGATATAAGGCCTTCGACAAAGGGATCCCGCGAGGAACCGAAGCGGGGCCGCGGTTGCCGAGACGAGAGGGCTCGAGTGTTTCTTCGCTCGAGGGGACTCGCGTTGGGTCCTGTGGGCCGCCAAAAGCGATGATCGCTCGACGTCTTCCGTATCGCGTCACACTTACCACCGCCACGTCGGGTGTGGACGGCTCCGTGCTATAAAGCACGGAGGTTTTCACCCTCGACACGCATTCTATTGAGAACACGCCTAAGAAATACAATAATTGTTTTAGTACGAAAACGTGTTGATTTCTTTCCTATAAATAAGACTCGCCCTGCCGCGAGTCAGCGTTTCCAAACATCGAACAGTTACGGCGTTTTGGGACGTTACACACTTTTTCTTCAAAAAGTAAAAATTGACACATTCGTAGTTTCGGTACAAAGCGGTACAACGTATTTCGTCGAGTACCGATATTCAAAGTTCCATTCCCGATTTCCATAAATTGCATAATAGATGGGGTTGCGTGGGAAATTTTCTGATTAATCACGAGTAATTAGAGGAACTCTGTCAGGGTGGTATATTTTGTTTTGTCGGGCCTGCATGACGCATTGAGAACTTGGAGCCCCCGGTCTTTGGTACCTTTGATCCCACGGGATTCGATGTACTTTACCTACCCCATGTTGGGACAACTGAATTATACAGGGAACTGTTACTAAGATATATGGGCAAACTTTGCAGGCATGTTTCTAGTAAGCGCGCAAGGTCGAAAAGATACTGTGTAAACGTAGGTGGGAGTTTAGGGTCTTTTAAACTGCCATATTACGTCGAATAAATTTACCAGCTAATTTCTACGGAATTATTTACGGGTTGTATATCTGTCTCGTATAGTTGGAATATGTTTAGAAATCGTCGGTTAACAGGATGACGATAAGGTAGAAATTGACGATTCCAACAGAATTTATATACACCGTGTGAAAATAGTTGAAACGAGGAACTTGTAGTACTTGTCTCGTTCGTGTAATTCCTGTTACGTTTTCGAGGTTACCCGAGAAACACAGAGAGAACGCAATGAGAAATAAATCCCTGTCAGGGGCCGTGTTAAATCAAATTAAATCAGCAGCAGTAAAGCAGAATGACGAATTGTGTACATACGGGACCGTGAGAGATTGATGACACTGATCTTGATCTAGGCTAT